TGTAGACGAACCCACCCACGAACCCAGTCTGTCTGGCAACTGTAGAGATCGTTTGACTTGCAATTCATTTCTACTTACTCTGTGGATTCTGTCATGAACCTATCCAGCGCAACACCTCCGCTAGTCGTATTCAGGATGATCACCCTCATAGCTGCTGATTCTGTTACATCATTTCTACAGCCCTACTTAAAACTATCACACACAGTAACAGGCTAGGGCGACATGAACCTTATCCCCAATTACAGCATTTCTACAGCCATAACTTATTCCTTAGACCCTTAACCCTCAAACGCTTCCAATACAAGACTTAGTGCCACAAACTCCCTAAACCCCTACACACCGTAAAGTACAGGACCAACATCAGATCCAGCAGTGGGCTGAGGGAGACTTGCTGCCTCCCACGACTGGCGAGAAAGCTCAGCTGTTTGTCGGGGGCCTTAGCATTTAACCACGGCCTATAAGGGATCTATAATGGTTTAGGGGGAGGGCCCCTTTAAAGGGATCTATAAGAGTTTAGGTTTTAGGGTTTCCGTGGTGGGGTTTAGGGTTAGAGGGTTTAGGCTTTGGGTGTTTAGGGTTCCGGGTTTAGGGTGTCGTGTTTCTGCGAAACTTCACCATTAAACTGTCAGAAAGCACAGTACGGTCAGCACCCTAAGTTTTAGCTAAGTGCTCAACTTCGACGCACCGGCAACCCGAGACCCACCACTGATCACTACAGTCTTCTCCATGCTATATGCATTGAAGACATCGTCCCTTGTTGCCGAAATCTACACAAAGAGCCCCAAACCCTAAACCCTAAATGAAAAAAGAAGACGAACCAGACCCGGTGGGTCGGCTCACTGTAAATGGGTAGTTCTCTGGATTAGGCTCCCTTTTTGAGGTCCTTTTCATAAGGGTGCCGTACTATATTGGGGACCCAAAAAGGGAGCCTAATTTAGAGAACTACCCAAATCCTACTCCCGCAATTTTAATCCCTTGTGGCATTTGTTTAAGGTTTGGGGGTTAGGGTCCCACAGACGATACATTGCTTAGCCCTGGCTCCCAGAAGCCGCTGGAGGCACGGTTTGGGGTTGTAGGGTTTAGGGCCTCAGGGTTTCAGGGTTTAGGGTCTTGGGTTTACGGCTTTAGGATTTGATGGTCCGTGTGGCCCCCAACAAACCATCTAACAAAGACTCCAGAGCCTTAACCCCCACGAGGCTACGAAGCTTAAAACATGGAACTGAAACAGCCCTGGAGAAAAAATCGAAACCAAGATCCCCGACTCCTGAACGGGCAGCGTGCCAGAGCAAAAATCCCAGCCTGTAGCTTACGCCGTCTGTATGATCCCTGTATGCGCGTTCAGCTAGCTACCCACTCTTGAAGTTGGAGGAACTTCTGTTAAACCCTAAACCCTAAACCCTAAACCCTAAACCCTAAACCCTAAACCCTAAACCCCTAAACCCCTAAACCCCCTAAACCCTAAACCCTAAACCCAGGCCTGGCGCCTTTCGGAGTATTGGCAGAAGCGACTTCGGGAGTGGCTGAACACACGCCAGGCTTGTCCCAAGGTCGCGCAAGTCCGTAGCAGGGTGGCGCCGGAGCTGCGGAAGGAGTTTGACAACGCTGTTGCAGGCCAGAATGCCCAGCAAAGTAGGCTTCAAAACCTCCTAGGAGGATCATGGGACTTAGTAAGTAAGGTTATGAGTCCCTTAAGTGGGGTTATAAGTAATTATAAGTACAGTTACCTTAGTTATAACCCTACTTACTAAGTCCCATGATCCTGTAAGTCAACTCAACCCTTAACTGCCTCTCAATCTCTCTTGAAAAACCTTCGACCCTACAGGCGATTCCGAAGAGTTAGAGTAAACCTTATGACCCTTAGTAACACCCTACACCCTAAAACCCTAAACCCTAAAACCGGCCCTTTAAAGACCCGGGGCTTCCGTAAACCCTAAACCCAAAACCCTAAAACCCTAAACCCTAAACCCTAAACCCTGAACCTTATGAGCTTCTTAAGGGGCTTTCCGGGGCTTAAGCTTCCAAAGACCTCCCAAACTTTGGCTTTGGGCTTTCTGTGAGTGTTGTTTAAGGGTTTTACAAGGGGTTTTATGCGGTTTTCTAGGGTTTGAACCCGTCAAAGGACTTCAAAGTTAGGTACTTGGGTTTCGGCTAGTAGTTATGCACGTTGGTATTTGGTCGAGTCTATAATTCTTAGGTAGTCGGAGCCCTATTCTGGAAAGGGGGTGCAGTAGTATTCTGTTGATTTCGGGATTCCTGTCACTCTTTCTGGTGGCATATCTATTCCACGGCGATTGTCAAATGCCCAATCATTCGACAAACGAGATTCGGGATGTGAGCTTGTGAAGCCTGCTGACTTATGCTCACGCCCTTGCAGGTGTTTGCGGGCAGAGTCCATCCCCACCGCCGCCCAACCAGGAGGCTTCTGAGGGCTTCACCACTCTGCAGCTGCAGATGCTCAACGCGGTTCTTGAAAATGATGAATGGAAGTCCTGCTTGAAAGACTTGGACCCATCACGCGGGAATGGGTACTGGCGCCGGCGCATTGAAAACAAGTATTATGACCAGCTGCGCTGGATGAGCGCAGGCGATAAAAAGATTTTGTTTGGTCACGACAGCATCAGTGCGCGATTTCGGCACGGTCAGCACAACAATCAGCCCGTGGAGCAGTCGATTCAGGAGCTTGTTGATGGTCCTGACTGGGCAGAGAGTATGCCCGCTTTGGTCGCGGTCCGTTTGCAAGAAGATATCATCGTTATCTTCGGGAACAGACGTCTGCATTGCTTCAAGGAGGCTTACAAGCACAGACGCTCTCCCCTACGCTTGAAAGTGATTATCCACGAGTTCCCCTTTTGCAACAGCATAGAGGAGCAAGGCTTGCGAAACGCGTTTAAACTTAGAGCCATACAGGCCGCGAGCACCAAGTGCCACGGCCGAGATGTTAAGCTGAATCAGCGGAAGCGGCCACGTGGTTGGTGAAACCTGCTTGAGCCGTTGAGCAATATTCAGTCTATCGGTGGGGCGACTCGGCGTGAGAGGCCAAAGCAGAAGTACTGCTCTTGGAAGTGGATTTGTCTTGCAAACCCTGTAAAAGCCAGCACGCACGTTTAGGACTACTGTTGATGTTGTTCTGCCTCTCAGTGGTGGAGTTTCCTGCACATCACTGGCGACTCATTTGTCATTCACTATATGCTACCTCATCGACGATGACTGGTAGAGTTGCAGTGAGGTCTCGATGCTCTCTGCCGTAGTGTTTCAGGGTGTTTTGATTCACTTGGAGGTTCAAGGATGACGCAGCAGGGAAGGTTTGCTAGCCCGCAAACCCTATAGCAACCCAAGATCCTAGATTCATTTCAATCCCAGCAGCCTTCTGAAACTCAAGAACCCTAAACCCTAACTCTAAACCCTATACCCTAAACCCCATAAAACCCGAAACCCTGAAGCCTAAACCCTAACTCGAAACCCTACACCCTAAACCCTAAAACCCGAAACCCTGAAGCCTAAACCCTACCAGCATGCAACCCAAATCAGGTCTTAGACTTACCGTCTTTAAGGTTCCCAGGATCCACGCAACTGATAAGTCTACAGGGTTTAGGGTTTATAGGGTTTAGGGTCCATAAAGGGATCTTGTACTTGTCCCTTTGCAGCTATATGAGCTCTTCGGGTTGCTTACTTCCAGCGCAAGTTATTAGGTCGCCTGTGTGAAAACGGCATTGGCGTTCTATGAGGATCCTACATCCGGAACCCTGAACTTATCACATCCTCAAGACCTGGACTCTACCCCATACCGCAAAAGCTGGGCGCGACAACGACGGTTCGCTGAAGAACCAGCCATTGGCAAGAACAGGTCACAATAGGAGTAGTTGTCAGGGTTTAGGTCCCTACTTCACATGCACAATAGGTTTGGGCCACAGGTTATTCCATATTGAGTCCTATTGCTATTATAACTTAAGGTATATTTTTTTCCTTCGTTAAGGTATATTGGAAGGTCGGGGGTGCTAGTAAAGCCCCCTAAGCTCAAATAACGTTTACGAAACTCCAGAGCCCCAAGTAGTGTTTAGGGTGTAGGATGGGTGTAGGATTTAGGGTTTAGGCTTTAGGATTTAGGATTAGGGTTAGCAAGCCCAATAGCACCAGAATCTAAACCTAACTGGCCCGGAAAGCCCCTTGCAACAACATCGCCAATCCATAGACCCCCTCCCTCCCCACCAGCCCTACAGAAGCCGAGGCTCTGGAGCGGACCCCTCCTAAACCCTAAACCCTAAACCCTAAACCCTAAACCCTAAACCCTAAACCCTAAACCCTAAACCCTAAACCCTAAACCTGAACCCCAGAACC